GTTGTCATATAATAATAATTAAATACATTCTCCGTTCGTTTTAGTCCGTTAAGCTTTTCAGTTCCACATAATCGGTCATGAGCATTTGGTTTAATCAGCAAATGATTGACTCGTTCCAAGCGTTAACAGTCTCATCAGCAACACAGTCAGATTCCCAGACGTTATTGGCGAGGGCGTTCAGTCTACATGATGGGGGCCCCGGTCACCGCACAAAACAACGGGGCTGGTGTTGCAGTATACGGCACTCTGAGGTGGCCAGATGCCTCAGAGGTCAGAAGTCTGAGCTGACACCGCTGAGAGCCTGGGTTCAACTCCAGTGACCTGCACGTGATCCGTCAATAACCATGTGACTTAAAGAGAAATAAATATACAACCGGCACAATTCTGTCGTTTGTTTATAGCGGTACTTCTCAAACTATGTTTGGCCCGCGGACCACTCAGCCCCCCCCAACTCTGGTGACACAACTCATTAACTTCTCTCTCTAAATAGCAGCAATACAACATTATTAAGATTATCGGATTTACGCAGCTATAAGGTTTGTTGAGAACAGGGTTTCCCCTTTTTTCTGGCAACAAAACAGGTGTTGAAATGTTAAAACACCAAACTTAAACCTTTTACAAGGAATCATGTCTGCATTAACCACAATGCTTGTGGTCAGAATGCAAACAAAAAACGTACTCTGATAATATATGCATTGTCTTTGAAACTGATTGGTCCACACCAGAGACAGCTTTCTTTTGAGCCTAGTCCCAAACGCCTTTTGGCGTTTTGTTGCCAGAAAAACGGGGAAAACCTATTCTCATATTTTGGTACTGGCAAAGAAAATCCCATGATAAGGTTTGTTTTTTTAAGGGGGGGGGGGAGGGGGGACATTTAGATGTTAGGGTTAGGTTAGTTTAATAAGGGAAGTCTACCTAACTTATTTTTTTTTATATGAGTAAAATATTCTTTAATCTCCGACACAAAAGGTATAAACGTTGCTATCATTCCCTGATCAAACCTGCATTTGCATCGTAGCCCACGGACCCACCCGGAGGACTGTCGCGGACCACCTGGTGATCCAGGGACTCCACTCTGAGGACCGCTGGGTCACAGAGGACACGATTACATTTACCGCGCGCTTCGGATGACTAAAAGAACATTTGGTGGCGAGTCTGATAATCCGGCAGGTGCGCGCGCGTGACCACATTTCTTTACCGTGATTGGCACGGACCACACGCTCTGGGGTGCATCTCAATTACACGATCTTATTACGATCTGTGGAATAGACGGTGCAATACTCGCAAGCGCTCCTCTCTGCCTGGCTCCTCTTTCAGTGACGGTGCTGCGCATTTGCGAGTTGGCACGGTAGCGAGTACGACCGCAGCTACAGAAAAGTTCCCCGCTCTAATTATTGGAAGCTAAAAACAGCACCTGCCACAAAGAGCGGAGACGAATAGATGTGACACTGATGTGTCACAGGGGGAAGTAATTTCCCCGCAGCGTGTCAGTGATGATGGGTGTAACGATGTGTCGATTCAAATGGATTCTTTGTGGTCAACGATGCGCGCAACGAATCAGTTTGTGTGTCGATCGGTCGATCGTGTTTGAACGGTGGTGCAAGTCGCGTGCACTTCCTGCTACGGCTCAGAAACACGGTCCTGAATGAAACGTACGGAACGAAAACTGAAAAGTGTGAAAATAGGCATGGAGGGGATGCATGCTTAGAATTGCATTGAAAACTCAAAATTTGTAAATCATTCCAAATTGAAAACAAATTTCTTTACAACTTCATTTTGTCTTTTCTTTTGATGTCCTCGGCCCGCACCTCCGATTTGCACGGTCGGCTACGTAAGGTGCGAACTAAGTTACACAACATACATGCATAGAGAGAGAGAGAGGAACATGCGGATTAGAGAACACACCCAGTTTAATGGACAAGTTAAGGAAAGAAATCGAGCTTGGGCAGGACATGTAGCTCGAATGAATTAAGGATAACGGTCAATAATAATAGCAGAGTGGAAGCCAAGCAATGGAACACGTCCAAGAGAAATTCTGCCGAGGAGATGGAGCGATGAACTCAGTTCATGTGCAGGCGCTCCGTGGATCATTGCATCGCAGAATCATGAGAGGAGGCTTTGGCTTGTGGAGGTCTTCATCCAGTAGTGGATTTTTTTTTCTAGCCACATTGCCAGGTTTCTTTTTTACACACTTTTTATTAACTAACTCTGTCTGTTGTTGTATCCTCAAATCTTGTAACTCAAATTTTACCCACTTCCCAATGTGGTATCGACTGCAAACTTGGTATACTTATGTCATACTGATGACAATACTATATTCTGTCATTAAAAATAAAATATATATTTTTAAACATTCTTCTTTTATATGTTACGTTTCAGCTTGTGTCTAATTGTCCACGCTCAACTGACGTTGGCTGTCAATCACCACGGTCCCTTACGTTATGGCAAGCTTCGGGGCCACTTCCTGGAGTCGTGGAGTCCTTCCATTACTAGCAGAGGTCGCAACTGGGTACCCGATACCCGTACCCTACCCGATACCCGGCTACCCGTACCCGGCCGGGTACGGGTACGGGTACCCGTTTGCGACCCTGGTGCGACCTGGTACGGGTAGGCCGTGAGTCACTGGTGAGTAGCCGTTTGTCACTCATTTCGGGTAGGGTACGGGTATGGGTAGGGTACGGGTACCCGTACCCGGCTGGGTACGGGTACGGGTACCCGTTTGCGACCCTGGTGCAGCCGGGTACGGGTAAGGAATCAAAACCCGTTTGCGACCTCTGATTACTAGTACTGGTACGTTTCATTAAAGCGTGTTTTAAAAATTTGTAAAAAAAATATTACTTATTTTATCATCAAGTTCAGTTTTCCAAAAGCACTACAACTTGCTCGCATCCACCTCTTGTTTTCATCGTGATCACGGTAAGCTATCGGTAGACGTCATATGGGTACGCATTCTGCTGTATTTTCGAGTTGTGTTCCCCTTACAGATATCTTCAATCGTTTAGCGGACTTGTTGTGCTGTACTATGTCGTCAGCACATCAGAGATGGTTAACGTTCTCTCAGTTAATATTTACGACGCTTTTGCTTTTCCAATGCAATTTTCGGAAAATAGCTTCTTAAGTCCCAGTGAATAACCTTATCAAAAGCGAGGCCACCTTTGTCAGACGCCTGTTTCTTCATAGAACCGGTGCGTGCCTGTTTGTATAAATGGTTTAAACTATTTACCAATACCATGTCACAACTATAACCCCACCGCCTTCCCTCCCTCAATGATGCATTGGTAAAAATCTTGCGGTTGTCAGACCCTGTCCCATTCGCTGTAATTTTGTTTTTTGTGCAATTTACCACATGCGTAAAACAACAAAAAACCCACGGGTTGCTGCAAATACTTGTGTCGACAGCAAGTTGAACAACTTTGTGATACTGAGTCGAGACGTTGAGGAGGTGGGAGAGAGCTTAGATTGCGTGTGGGTGGGGTGCTCATGTACCCAGGTTGAGCCTCCCAGACATGCGGCGGTAGCTTGACTCATAAGGAAGTAGTAACAGAGGCTTGTATATGGACGATTTTACGATGTGTATACTCTATCTGTCTGGAGGGGGCCGTCAAAACGTTAGTGTTTCACCTCGCCGATGATTGACCGTGCATGGAGTGACCTACGATCGTTATATTTTAAATGCGTAATCTCATAACCTTGTTCAACACAAACCTACAACTGAACCCTAACTCTTGCCCGAGTAGATAATTGTTGGACTACCAACGAGAAGAATCGCAATCAGCCATCGATGACCAAGCGACTGTTGGACGAAGAATTCCCCCCCAAGCCTCTGTCATTCCTCGTTGGCCCGCGATGCAAAAATCCATCTACACGTTAGCTGATTTCACCGCTCCATCTCCGCATTGGATGTCCTCTCCGGCACGTGTCCCTCATTGGCTGCCAATTCTGTCGTTGGTTTTTAACCACCGGCCATCATCACTCCCTCACGACGCGTCCTGCCCAAGCCCACTTCACTTGTGTGTACATCCTCTTAGGCCACGTGCTCCTCTCGACGTCTCTCAGTGTGAATTCATGAATGGACTTCCCAACGTTTATGTGCACACGTTTGAGCTTTTGTTTCACTTTGAACTAAACTACGAACCATATTATTTTAATATTTTATCAGGTAACGCCCCCTGAGCTGTATATCTTTTTTTTTCAGAGACGACCTGGCCACAAATTATAGCTCAACGAAGTGGTTTATCACGTGGTAATTTATAGCAGCCAAATACTGTACTCTAAACGCATGTTGATTCTAAATGTGGAGGGAAACCCCAGAGTACCCCGAGAAATATCCACGCGACCACGGGGAGAACATGCAAACTCCAAATATACAGCAGACGTCAGGGTCGAGATCGATCCCAGGACCTCCTGCAGACCAGACGAGGGAGTTAGGACTGAATTTGCATGCCAACAGTCACGCTTCTGTTCTATCGCTGGATAAGAACAAGACGCCCGCGCGATTTTAACAACACAAGGAGAAGGTGATCTATAATTGAATGAGTCTGTTGGCTGCATTTTGTTCAATCAACAATGCACCTTCATGTGGGCTGAGCTCTTCGTTTCTCGTGGACTTCATTACGGGGCCCCCACCCTCCCATCCCATCTTCTGCCCACCCCCCATCGGCCCTGGCAGTCGGGTTGGGGAGGAATGAAAATATTTTCCAGAGCTCAGTCTCACTTCCACTGGAAATTAGGCTCCGATTTTGGCAAACAACAAAAGGAGTAAACATCCATCAGTGCATATAGTTATCTACAAATATATAACTACAGTATACTGTAGAAGCCCTGTTAACGGCCACCCGTGTTAACGAATAATCGCTTAGCAACGGGCCTCCATAGAGCCCAATGTGTAGCGTATAGTAGTGTAGTGTATAGTGTAGTGTATAGTAGTGTAGTGAGTTCAACTGAGTCGCAGACGTACTCTTTGGAGGCAACACATTTATTAACACCAACACACGGGGTAACTGCCCCTTAACAGAATGACAAGTTATGGTGGTGGACCACCAGGCTAACTGCACTAATTACACTGGGAGTAGCTACAACGGACAGGACCCCAGCTTGGGTCCAGGTCCACGTGTTGGTGACTCTAGGACGTAGAACGAAGAACGTAGATTTCTTCAAGATGAACAACAGCAGCCGGTCCCTCTGGGGGACCCGGCTTATATCCCCTGTGGTGTGGCTGGCTCCGCCCTTAGCCACGCCCACCTTCTGGAATCCTCTAGCAGGATCTCGACCCTGACACGTGACCACCCCTAGCCCCCACCTGGGGGCCCTGTGTAGACTTAACCGGTCACGTGTTCTTCAGGGTCAACCAGAGTGCCACGGCCCTTAGAAACCCCATTCCCGTGGCAGGCACTCTCACACCCCATCCTGTAGGAACCGGCACTGCACGCAGAGCGTGGTGCCACTCAGCGCTGTCAGTCAGTGCTCACCAAGCCCCTCTAGGGCCGGTACTGCACCCACATTTACGTGGTGCCAGGCGATGTCAATACATGGCATGGCGTGCCTCTCTAGGGCCGGCATTACACAGTGACATCCGCGATGTCACGATAGGAGTGCAGTGCCTCCATGTGTTCGCTTACCGACCATTCCCTTGTTAATGACGGGCTGTTGTACGTACTGTAAATATTAATGCATTGGTTAACTGTTTCTTTTAATGTCACGTGTTTATAATGTTGTATCTTTTTGTATTCATATCCATTGTTTAAATATTGAAAATGAGAATTTTTTGGGTAAAAAAGGGTAACTTTCGATGCTATCGGAACGAATAAACCCTTTAACTTGTAATTTCCATACTCGCTTAACGACGAAATCACTTAACGACCGGATTCTTGGAACCAATTGCCGTCGTTGAGAGGGGTTCTCCTGTACATATAGTTTTCTATCTGCACAGATCATCCAATGATCTATCTGCACAGATCAGCCTTTAATAGATGAGCGAATGAGCCCTGCAGGTGAGTGGAGGATGGTTGGCATCGATAGCTACTCCACTGTCAGGCTTGCTAAACAAATAGGCCTACTTCTGACTTTACGATAAGTTTACATGACTATGTTTTTGGGCAACCCTTTGATACATGTGCCCGGTTGTGTATGGTGTAAGTCCCTAATAGCAAAACAACGTGACCAACTTCCGTTCATATTAGACATCTTTACCGTGCCAGGCGAGATGGACGGACAGTTGGACGGACAGACACATAGAGCTAACGCATGATCGCTTTCAACCTTTTTTGGAAAGCATTAAGAGTAGCACACACTCCAAGTGTAATGATAAACCACATTTACACGTCTTTCTTTTTTAAATCGGACATGTTTTTAATAATGAAAACGTCAGCAAATATGTGCAAAATATTGCTGAAATATTTATACTTGAACCAATAATTATTTTCAATAAAAACTCGGCTCAAGAAAGAACATGTTTTTAACCAACAACACAGTATAGCTCAAACGAATATGCAATATTCGAGTGCAAAACGTTCTCATTCGCAGTAAGTTCTTATCATAAGAAATGGACCCTCAAAGTTTACTGACACGTGCCAGTGTGCATTTAGACAAGTGCCAATTTAAACTCAGTTTTCAATTTACATCGTAACGGTTGTAATCCACAGTAGGCAACGACACACGATAGTTTACATCTATTGATGGAAAGTTAGTGTGAATACATGTGCACGTGCCTTTAAAGTTCAAAATACAAAAAATAAATTAAGGGCAAAGGTGAAATGCCGCCACATCAGTCAATGCATCTGCCCCTGCATTTACACACACCCGCATTAAACAATACAATGTAATTCCTAAACACGGAATTAATAAATATACATAGAATTGCATACCGCAGTAGTAATAATTACGTTAAACGTTCGCGATTCTTATGAACCAATCAACCAATATCAGCCTCATCAGCCACCTGTAAAGTGGCTCTGACAGCTGATCAGGTTTGCAGTGGAGGTAAACGACAATAATAACGCATGCAGGAGGTTGACTTAAGAGCAAAGCAAACGGGTGATGGTGGTGGTGGTGGTAATGATGGAGCAGCCAAATCTCCTACACCATCAGTCGACACACGGCCAGATCCCCTACACCATCTCGTGGTGGTTCTTGCAGGCCGTGTTGAGGTCTCGCACCGTGCGCTCCACCCACGCCTGGAACTCGTGGAGCATCACCACGGCGGGGATCTTAAGTGCGCACTTTAGCTGCTTTTCCTCCTCCTCCTCCTCTTCATCCTCCTCTTCATCAGCAGCATCATTCCCCTGCTCGTCGCGACTCGGCGCGTGCAGCAGCTGCAGCTGGATCTGGCGGGGAGTCTGCCCGGCGAGGCGCAGGGTGCTGCAGAGGTGCTCGAGCAGAGCCTCAAGCGAGCGCGCGGTGCCGCGCAGGGAGGCGAGCGTCGACCGCTGCTCCGGCTGCCGCTGAGCCCGCTCGGTGAGCAGGCGGCGCAGGTAGTCGAGGAAGAAGGCGAGCGCCCCGGCGTCACGGAGGAGCCGCTTCTGATGGCTCTGGGCCCACGGGAAGAAGGACCTCCTGCGAGAGAGCAGGGGCACGCCGGCGGCGCGCATGTCATGCGCCCAGTCGCCGGCCTCCACCTCCTCGCTGGAGCCCTGCGGACGGTGAGCGATCACAACAAGCGGGTGTAAGCATGCATTCAATAGAGCAAGTGTGTGTCATTATCATCGTGATATTGGGATGTTATAGTTACGGGACAAAAATAACCTTCAACCGTTTTGGCTGATAAGCCTACAGGAAAAACGTCGAGTTCCATATATAACGACGATATTTTAAATACAGAACTTTGAAAAGGCGATGTGTTGGAGCTGCTGATTCTGATCGTCTCCCCAGCCATGTGCACCGTGGAGTGGGGCCTCGTGAGCTGTGCGTGATTCCTTAGGCGCTGAGCACAGGAGGAGCCACTTACGAACGCCGGGATGAGTTGTGTCCCCATCGCTTGCAGCTGCTTGGCGAGCTGAAGGGTGAGCTGCAGGGAGGAGTGCCGCGAGTCGCTCTCGGGGACTCCTCCTTTCTCTCCCGGTAGCCAGTGCTGTGCTGCGGGCGGCACACACACACACACACGCGCACTTAAGATACATGTATGCCGCTAGATCGGGGGTCGGCAACCAACGTAATAATAATAAGAGACATTTTTTTCGAATTCGGTCAAAAAAGCTCAATGTTTCATGAGCCGAAATGCACGCGGTGAATACGAGATGTTGGTCCTTGATAAACGATGTCACGAAGCGGTCCTTAAAGGGCCGTAGGGCGACTCCAGAGCCACAGATTGCTGGCCCTGCCCATGGTAAACTGGAGTCTCATGGTCAAGGGTCAGCAACCAAAAATAACAAGAAGAATTTATTTTTTTAGAATCCGGTTAAAAACTCAATATTTCAAGAGCCATGTTCTTAGTATTTTTTCGGTAAAGTCACGTAGGTAAAATTTTTAAATTTAAATTAATAAAAGTCAAATAAAAATAAAATAAAAATCACGTTTCGGAGGCAACACAAGCTTCCGTCTTCAAATCTAGAATTTCAAGAGCCGCTGTGCAGTCCTTAAAGATGCGTAGGCGGTTCTGGAGCCACGGGTTGCCAACCCCCGTGCCGGATGAATGGGGATTGTTTGACCATATTTCACCATGCTGGTCAGCGCGAGAACCGGTTCAAATATTGGTCACTGAAGTTGGCCATGATTGGGAATCGAACTCAGGAAATCAGGTCCGCAATGCATTGTGATAATCATTACGCCACCACACTTCATCCAGCAGTGAACTGACAATTGGTAAAGTTTGCTACGTGAACAAAACGTGCCAATGTGTTACTAATTCTAGATTATTTCGGTAAAGTCACGTAGGTGAAAATAATAATAAAATAAAATAAACCCACAACATTAACAATTGAGTAAATTCAGTAACAAATTGAAAGTTCTGTTCACGTGACAATCCTTCCTCATTGGCTGTGTCTTGTAGAGGTGGGTGTACGACATCTTTATATTTACACGCCCTAACCTAACAAACGTAATCATGTACATGACCGATTATTATCATCATCGTAAAAGTACAACAATAACAGTAATACATTCTAGATTTTAAGCTTTCGTGACTGCAAGGATTCATATTCTTAGGTTTTTTCGGTAAAGTCACGTAGGTAAAAATTTTAATTAATAAAATAAAAATAAAATCACGAAGTTTCGGAGGCAACACAAGACTCCGTCTTCAGGTGGAACCGTCACTTGATACAGCTATATACTTGATACAGCTGTCGTGCTGTGACGGTTGCACCTGAAGACGGAGGCTTGTGTTGCCTCCGAAACGTCGTGATTTTTATTTTATTTTACTTTTATTAATTTAATTTTTTTACCTACGTGACTTTACCGATAAAAACCTAAGAATATGAATATAACAGTAATACAACCGCGGTGTATGTTTCAAACTTACTTCTAGAAGACGTCATCACCCGTGATGAAAATGTCCGATTCATGGCTGGCGTGGATGTTTAAGAGTGTACGTTGAACCGTGCGAGTCAGAGGTGCGGTGTCGAGGCGGCTTGTGGTGTCGATTTCTGCCGAGTTGCTCACGCGGTGGAGGAAGAGTCTGATGTCGGCTCAAAGCACCTCCCGCCTCTATATACCGCGCACACACACGGGGCAGAGCGGGGTGAGGTGGGGCAGGGGAGGGGGGAGTATTGTGTAAATTCCATGGCGTGTGGGACACCACAGTCGCCCCGTGTCAGTCATACGCACAACTTCCACATTTGTTCACGTGGCGGAATTCGTGTGCGCGGGGGGTTTGGTTGCACCGGGCACATTGCGTTGACGTGGTCGTCACGTGAATGAAAAAGTAATAAAACAACCCCCCAGACCTTTTTTAGCCTTTTCACTTGAACATTTAATACTGTACTGTATTCGTTTTTGTCTGTATTCGTTTTAGTCTGTTTGGCTTTCCAGTTCAACATTATCGGTCATCAGCATGTGCTTACACGAGCAAATTATTTACCGGTTCTGACCATCGGGAGTGGAGTGGGGGGGGGGTTTCATCAGCAGTTGTCGACGCGTTAAACGAATACCGCTGGATTGTGTGATGTTTGTGATGAGAGCGCTCGGTTTAAACACACAAAACCGTCAACGTATAAATACGTACTCTACGTACAGTATTATACATCCTCATTTTGCCGTTGCTGTGGTGCAATGAAAACATTTCTCGCGTGGAGGTTGGCCGGTTTGGCTCAGAGGTCAGGGCCGTGACCTGCCACCGTTGACGGGGGCTGGGTTCGAGTCCAGGCAGCCACGTGTGATGGAACCAGGTGATGTCCAGTGGAGCAGCCGCGTGTGATGGAACCAGGTGATGTCAAGTGGAGCAGCCGCGTGTGATGGAACCAGGTGATGTCCAGTGGAGCAGCCGCGTGTGATGGAAGTAGGTGATGTCCAGTGGAGCAGCCGCGTGTGATGGAACCAGGTGATGTCCGGTGGAGCAGCCGCGTGTGATGGAACCAGGTGATGTCAAGTGGAGCAACCGCGTGTGATGGAACCAGGTGATGTCAAGTGGAGCAGCCGCGTGTGATGGAACCAGGTGATGTCAAGTGGAGCAGCCGCGTGTGATGGAACCAGGTGATGTCAAGTGGAGCAGCCGCGTGTGATGGAAGTAGGTGATGTCAAGTGGAGCAGCCGCGTGTGATGGAACCAGGTGATGTCCAGTGGAGCAGCCGCGTGTGATGGAACCAGGTGATGTCAAGTGGAGCAGCCGCGTGTGATGGAACCAGGTGATGTCAAGTGGAGCAGCCGCGTGTGATGGAAGTAGGTGATGTCAAGTGGAGCAGCCGCGTGTGATGGAACCAGGTGATGTCAAGTGGAGCAGCCGCGTGTGATGGAACCAGGTGATGTCAAGTGGAGCAGCCGCGTGTGATGGAACCAGGTGATGTCAAGTGGAGCAGCCGCGTGTGATGGAACCAGGTGATGTCAAGTGGAGCAGCCGCGTGTGATGGATCCAGGTGATGTCAAGTGGAGCAGCCGCGTGTGATGGAACCAGGTGATGTCAAGTGGAGCAGCCGCGTGCGATGGAAGTAGGTGATGTCAAGTGGAGCAGCCGCGTGTGATGGAACCAGGTGATGTCAAGTGGAGCAGCCGCGTGTGATGGAACCAGGTGATGTCAAGTGGAGCAGCCGCGTGTGATGGATCCAGGTGATGTCAAGTGGAGCAGCCGCGTGTGATGGATCCAGGTGATGTCAAGTGGAGCAGCCGCGTGCGATGGAACCAGGTGATGTCAAGTGGAGCAGCCGCGTGTGATGGAACCAGGTGATGCCAAGTGGAGCAGCCGCGTGCGATGGAAGTAGGTGATGTCAAGTGGAGGAGCCGCGTGTGATGGAACCAGGTGATGTCAAGTGGAGCAGCCGCGTGTGATGGAACCAGGTGATGTCAAGTGGAGCAGCCGCGTGTGATGGATCCAGGTGATGTCAAGTGGAGCAGCCGCGTGTGATGGATCCAGGTGATGTCAAGTGGAGCAGCCGCGTGTGATGGAACCAGGTGATGTCAAGTGGAGCAGCCGCGTGTGATGGAACCAGGTGATGTCAAGTGGAGCAGCCGCGTGCGATGGAACCAGGTGATGTCAAGTGGAGCAGCCGCGTGCGATGGAACCAGGTGATGTCAAGTGGAGCAGCCGCGTGCGATGGAACCAGGTGATGTCAAGTGGAGCAGCTGCGTGTGATGGAACCAGGTGATGTCAAGTGGAGCAGCCGCGTGTGATGGAACCAGGTGATGTCAAGTGGAGCAGCTGCGTGTGATGGAACCAGGTGATGTCCAGTGGAGCGAGTTGATGGTCTCGGCTCGAGCACGGATGACTGCACAACCACGATCGCCTCTTTGCAGTGGCGCCATTGGGTTGGTGTCACCCAGTGCGGTGACTCGTGGTGTCACTCAGCCCCCCCCCCATGGACCTCTTCCCGTACCAGACCATATAGAATCCTGAGTAATGTGTTTTGTGCTAATGTTACTCGTAAATCGTAATTCCCGCATATCACTGGATGTAATGGCAATAGTGGTGACGTAAAAAACTAGCAAAATTTAAATGACACCTTTTAAATTACAATAGCATACGTACAGCCTTAGTGTACTGTTACATAGTTTCATGTGGTTAAAGTGAAAATTCGGTAAGAAAACAATAGAAGTAAAAAAAAGTCCAAACATTTAAGAACTATATTAAATCAGATATTTATATGCAAGACAGTGATGTTTTTCAAGTAAAAAAAAGACAAATGAAAATTTTTTTTATTTTATATTTAAGTTATATTTCTAAACATGTATGAAGAAACCTAACATTTTCCCCCACTTCATGTTTTAAATTGTCAATTTCTCTAGTTATCAAAAAGTTATATAATCAATAATTGTTCTTCATGTAAGTTTATTATCAATTTTAAATCATAGAAAAATGTGATATAATTGTAAATTGCTTAAATGTAATATTTCTTAGATTATATGAATATAGCGCGTGCAGACGAGACCACGTGATTCGAAGCGCCACTTCAGTTAGTTGGGTAACAATGACTGCTCTGACCGGAGCGCATTAGAAGGTTCAAAGAGTAAATTAGCATAGAGTATTTATTAACCTTGCAGGTATATTGATACAGTACATGTAAGCTGGGCTTACGAAAAAAAAATTTGTTATAACTACAGGGATATTTTTAAATAAAAAAAATCATAAACTTCTGCTGAAACACTGCACAAAAATGTTATAGACAGTCATTTTGGTGTGACCCCCTCTGATGGTGTCACCCGGTGCTTTCCGCACTCCCCGCAACCCCCTAGTGATGCCACTGCCTCCTTGTATTTTGAAGCAAAAGTTAGGATGGGGTGGGAGGTCAGTCTTTTTATCCGTGTGGTGTGTGTGACCAGATTTGTCTGACCTTGAGAATGGGCAACAGTTTGGGGTTCGTCTTACTTTCCGGAGCGTCTTTTGATCGGGACACCACAGTACCGTATAGTAGTGGTTAAATTTCGATTTAAAGCTTTCGTGACTGCAGGGATTCATCTTCTTGGTTCTTTCGGTAAAGTCACGTAGGAGAAAAATTATAAAATAATAAAAATAAAACATTAAATAATTCTCACGACGTTTCAGCCGTCTTCAGGTGGAGACTCTGTCTCTCGACAGACCTGTTCTCCACCTGAAGACGGCTGCTTGCGTTGTGGCCGAAACGTCGTGAGAATTATTTTATTATGTTTTATTTTTATTATTTTATTATTTTTCTTCTACGTGACTTTACCGAAAGAACCAAGAAGATACCGTATAGTAAATCAGTGTTCTTCATTGCAAGGCCCGCGGGCCACTAGTGGTACTTAGTGGCCTTTAGTGCGGCCTCTGACGTGATGCCCCCGACAATACACAAATGTGAAAATACCCCCCCCCCCCATCATCCTGCTGTCAAACCCAATGGTTTCATACTCTTTGGTTTTTTCGGTAAAGTCACGTAGGTAAAAAATAAAATAAATGAAAACAACTAAATTAAATCACGACGTTTTGGGCGCAACACAAGCGTCCATCATCAGGTGGGAAAGCTAGGCCTACTGCTGATGCAGACTGTTTTAAAACAGCATGGCCTACTGCTGATGCAGACATGTTTTAAAACAGCATGGCCTACTTTCTCACCTGATGATGGACGCTTGTATTGCGCCCGAAACGTCGTGATTTAATTTAGTTGTTTTCATTTATTTTATTTCATTTTTTACCTACGTGACTTTACCGAAAAAACCAAAGAGTATGAATCCTTGCAGTCACGAAAGCTTCAAATCTGGAACCAATGGTTTCAAGTGTGCGGCGGCTCTTACACACTGACGATGCCTCATCGGCGAAACTGCCCTCCCCGCTCCCTCCTCTGAAAATTATTGAAAAACACTGGCATAGTTCTTCTGGCAAACACTGCCTCTGTCAGGCTCGCCTTGCAGGGACATTGCTGCTGCACCTTTTCATCTTTGAAGTTGGAAAGAAGTGTGGCCTGGTACGCCAGCAGATGACCTGTCCTACTAACAGGGTACTTGTATTGGAAACTATATACCGTTTAAAAAAAAAGAGCAGAAACGAGTAGATCACAAGATGACACAGGTGGAAGTCGTGTCTTTTTTTTGTTTAATTCGCACAGGGTGTCAATGAGAGGTGAAACGACGCGTCGATTGCGAGCGATTCTTTGCGACCACGGTGCATGGCATCGAGTCAGCTGGTGTGCCAATCGGGCACTGTGCGACTGGCACTGTGCACACATCGGGCATACCACTCCCCGGGGGAACTCAGACCCACGGCCCCGATTGGAACATTATGGAACAAAAAACAGAAATGTGCGCAAAGCAGCGTGGAGAGATGAACGCTTGGGACTACGGTGACAGGGAGGGGCACTCATTCGTCGATTTAAGTTGATTATTATATATACTCACGATACCATGTGTCGACCCACTTTTTGCATATACTGTACATTAATTTGTGTTCTAGTTCAACAGACCGTGTGCCGTGCTGATTATTTTAAAACAATTGTGCGCCTATGAATGCGTAGAAATGCCGATGCCAACGTCAGTAGTGCATTCACAAAAAACGCCACAACGAGC